TATGCATTACGATCATGATTTTCTACATTGTATATCATACTTGACAAAGAAACTAAGCAGCATGGTCCAGGATCGCACTGGGATTGGAGACCTCAAATAAAAATCAGTTTGCTGCCTCAAGTAGTGTTGATGGAATAGTAGAAGGGAGGCTCTACCCTTTGAACCAGAGGTTTCAAACCTATGTCCCACTACAGTAACTGTGGCCACTGTGATCTGAAAGGTGGCGCTCTTAGGATGAGGTGTTGATTAAAGGTCCTGAATACTTGGTCATTTAGGACACCTTGGCACTGATCACAAGAGTAGGTGTATTATATCCTGGCTAAATTTTACTTTCTGCTTCAATAATCTGTCTTGCCTAAATTGCTCCAATAATTTGAAATCTCTTTTCACTTTTCCACCTGATCTGCTTCTTCACCAAGTTGGCTGCTGCACTTCAGCAGTGAATAAAGGTGCTCAATTCCTCCATTTATAGCACTTTGGGGTCTTATGGGATAAAAAGGCTGAATAAAATGCCAAAGACTTACCTCTGTTATTTACAATGCTTCATGACACTTTGCTATGCTTTAACCTGGTTTTATTACAGTAAACTAAGGGAGAAAAGGAAATCTCTGTTTGAGTCATTGTCAGTTTCCCAATCTTAACCCAATAGTTAACTTGGTAATGAGTCGAAAAAACAATTATGCTTTTTTGCAGAGCTTGAAATCTGCCAGGGTGTGGGAGACTCTTGTAAACCCACTCTCTGCCTTCTTACCTGTTGGCTCTGAAGGACTGGAGGAGAGGGTGTCCAGGAGAATGTGCTGGGGGACACGGGAGACAGAGTTACTCGGACGGGAGGGTTGGCCTGTGAAAAAAAAATACAGCTCATCAAAAAAGGCAAGATCTCCATTGGGGGCATACCAGGCCAAATAGAAATGGCCATATAGTAAAACCTGTTATGAAGCACTGATAACAATGACAACAATAACAATGACAACTATAAATATATAAATATTTTTTTAAACCACTCAGACCTACTGAAAAACTACTGCAAGGAATTTCTGAATAAGTAATTGACAGTATAGACACACTGGCATTGCCAGTCTTACAAACAACAGTTGAAGCCAGTCTGTTGTGTATTTTCTTACCTGGTAGGAATGTTCGGAGCGCACCTGCCAGAAGGCACTGGGGGCTGACTGACTGAGGGGACTGGGCTGCTGGGCCCCTGAAGTGGGCTGCTCTGATACGCAAACCCCAGGCCCCATGGGGCCCTGCTGGGTGGGGCGGGGAGGAGAAGCGCAGGAAAGCTGAGGGGAGCAGGGAAGGGCTGCCTCCTGTTCTCTACGGATCTCAGTGTAATAAAAATCCTCCTCTCTCCGGGAGCGCTCCAGGTCACTGCTTTGTCTAAACAGAAAACGAGACCAAATCGCACACTCTATCCATTACGAAGATACTGGCGCACAACAGCTCAGACTAACGTGAAGACAGTAGACATTACTACCTTCAAATCCGTTTTTTGCATCTAATCGGCAGAAAAAAGCTGTTGTCATCAAAAAACATTCTTGAAAACTTTATCATGTGATATCCCTTTAAATTACTTTGGCTTATGTGGATTTCCAGTACAAACCACAAAACTCTCCTGATTACAGAACAAGATGAACTGCATTTCTATATCTCAGCCACTAATTTTACCTTATCAGTCTCTCAAGGAGAGTTTAAAGATTATGCTGATTATTAATACCAAAGACTATTTAACATTCCTTCTGTTTAGCGTTTACTATTTACTAAATGAGAATCTGACATTTTTTCAACAAAAAACCCAAGTACATTTTATGTAGTTACTGTTAATAAGGACATGGTATTAACATGGTCCAGAGGAGCAATTAATATATTTTTTCTAAATTGGACCTAATGATCTAATGAGATATACAATTATAAAACAAGCACCACAAATGCTGAACACTATTTGTACATAATTTTACTAACACAAACTTTAGCAAACTTGACAATTTAGGAATTATCTCATTAATAATTTTCCAGATTCCAGATTTCAAGTTCAGAATTCCTAAAAGAAGACAGAAGACTGTCATGTCCAAGGGGTTTAAAATGGGAATTAATAACAGGTGGATATTGAAAGACTCTAAAGGAATCCAAACTGTGTGAACCTCCTGGATCAACAGTAACCCTTTATAACTTGAAACCGTCCTTTTTGAATTTTTCTGTCTGAATTGAGAGCTGTGAAGTCAATTACAAACAATAGTTGAATCATGCTATTGGTCAATACATAGTTCAGAGGATAAACAAATTTGTGCTTACCCTAGATGCTGTGTTCGAATGTGCCGTTTGATACCGACCACAGAAGTTAGAATTTTTCCGCAGGTTGGCCAGAGACATTTGTAAGCCACTTTCATGGAGTTCTAGGAAGAAAAGAAAGACTCTATAGATCAACCAACACAAAAAACAGAATACTGGAAAATCATATCAAAGTGACCGGTTCCTAGTTCTAAAGGTTAAAACGCTTAAACTGCAGTTCACTGCTCATACCTAGTTCATGCTATAAAGTGTGACAACATGTCTTCAACACCACTTTAATGACAACTTCAAACTGTCTTCAAACATTCGGCTACATTGTAAGAAGCATTCTGGGATTATACAAACATTCTACCCTAAAATAACACATTTAAACCCAGAATTCCCACAACTGCCAGAATCAGAATAGCATCTCATCCAACTGGGGGAATGGAGAGGAATTTCAGTAGAGCTGACTGCCCAGTATGGGATCTCCTGTCACACACTGAGGAACTTACAGCAAGCCTGTCTCATAATATATGCAATTATACACGTATGTAAATGTTTACTCATTTGTTTTACTGTAAATGTTGAGTCACACCAACAAAAACTAAAGGTTAATTCAATTCTGAATGATGATGTTTAGATTTTGGAGCCTTATTGCTTAGTAGGTCTTTATGCGAGTAAGTTGGAAATAGTTGGCTACCTTTCGTTTCCTTGGAGTGGGCTCATCAAACAGGACATGGTCTAGCTCCATGTCCAGTCCCTCGTCGATGGGTGTGGTCTGAGGGCCGTCCTCAGCCATTGGAGGTGAAGGGGTGGGACTTGTGTTTCCAAGGTCCCAGCTCCAGTACCCACTACTGCCGCTGTCAGACAGCTCACCACACTCCGTCACCCCAGCAACAGCTATGCCACAGTCCCCTACACAAGACAAAGAGAGCAGACATGACTTAGCACCCATAAAGCACCTTGCTTTAGGAAATAAGTCCTAGAAGACAGAAGAGTACAAGAAAACCTGATTAAAGTATTCTGAATCCTTAAAACCACTGAAAATGTCAACGTGGTAGGCTTGTTCAGAATCGATGGAGAAACACAATACAGAGGCCAAAAGTTGAAACTACATGGAAGATCATTAAAAACTGACAATAGGAGGTATGTCTTAATACAAACTCCTACACCAAGAGATGCAGCAGTATGGAATAAGTTACCCAGCAATGTTACTGAAGCTGATATCCCAATATCTTTTACAAAACAACTGGATGAAATTCTCAGATGAATTAGTTACCAACTACCAAATTGTTTATATGTGCTGAATGGCCTCCTCATGTTTGTAATTTTTCTTATGTTCTTAGGGCAGATTTTATTTGACTTTACCATGAAGTTGGTAATATACTGCTACACAAAAATATTTAATTTCTCAACTCAAAACTTTTAAAAAAAACAATCATTTAAACTAATTATAGATATTTCCACAATTAACAAATACTAATATTTGAGAATATAATATTAACCCATAGAGATGTAAAAAAATACACTGTAATTTACAAATATGTACAATGTTTACAGGAGTCTTGTCACATGTGCAATGTTTAAAACAAAAATGTTAAAAACTTTACAGCTATCCTTGTTCATTTGTAATCAGAAATCATGGTTGACTTTATCATGAAATACTGTAGTTGATTCGGGAAGAGACCAAGACTGTTTGCCAGGTTGCCCTAAAATATTTTGAAGACAAGCAATAAAAGTATACTAAAGTAAGAAGGAAGGCTCATACTGCATATACTATTTTCCATTAACTTCAGGTTTTATACATTCTAGGCTTTCATAAAAAACCCTCCAGAAAAAAAATTTTAACTCATGTTTTTGCCATTGTAAGAGCTCACATTGACAGGGTTTCAAAAATGATCCAAGGACCAATCCCCAACATGCAAGATGTGTCATGAATACATGAGCATATATAACATACATTGAGTATTCCAACCAGTTTTCTTATGAGAAATAACGGTATTCTAATGAGCAATAGCTACTCACCAGACACAGTTTCTTTCTTAGGAGGACTCTGTACCGCTGGACTGCAGGACAGGCTTGTGAGAACCATGGCAGCCATGA